CTGGCTGAGGATGAAGGGGCTCGGGGAGGGGATGCCGCCTCCCCAGCCCTTCCGTGGGGAGCTGAGAGCAGGGGGTCGAAGCAGGGTTTGGCAGCAGAGCCGGGCAGGGCAGGGTTCCAGGGTCTGGCCCTGGCATCCTCAGTCCTGCTCGACGGCAGAGGTATCTTCTGCAGAGCCAGGGAGCACGAGGGGACGGGCAGGGTGAAGAAACGTGGGTGCTGCCGTACCCACGGGGTGTGGAGACTCCCAAGAGCATGGGTGTTTCCCACCTTCTTGCCTGGGTTTATTAGCTGGGGGTTGGCGAATTTTCCTGCCCAGGAGGAACACATCAAAAAAAACTCAGTTAAATACTAGGGGGGGGAAACAAAATTTGCCCCCCTGCAGGGCTGGGGAGGGACAGGGCAAATTTCCAGGGCAGCCGGTGGGGAAGACCGGCTGTGGCACAGCAGGGACAAGTCCTGTCTCCAGACAAAAGTGAGTTCCGCTCCTCAGAGCTCCTCGTGGATCTTCTCCTGGTCCTCATCCGACTTCAGCTTCAGCTCCTCGGAGGTGATCTTCCCGTCCTGGTTGCGGTCCTGGTTCCTGAACATGTCGGCGATGACTTTCTCCGGGTCGGAGCTGGGCATGAGGCGGCCTTTCCCTTCCGCCACCTGGGTCTTGATGAAGGTGGAGAACTGCAGCGGGGAGAGGAGAGAGATGCTGCTTTGCTCCGCACAGCCGGCACAGGGCACGGCAGGGAGCACCACGGCCCGCACCAAGGGCAGCAGCCAGGCAGCGAGGATGGGGCAGGGACAAGAGCACGGGCTGCCCTCAGTGTCCCTGCCTGGTCACAGCCCTGCCCACGTCCAGCAGCGGTGCTCCAGGCTGGTGTGTTTTTTCTGCACAGCTCTTCAGGCTCTCGAGTGCCCGCGGACAGCAGTGTCCTTCGGGTGCTGCTCCCCGGGGTGGGGTGCCCTGTGCCCCCGTTTCCTCCCACACCCCATAAGCCCGTGGTCTGGCGGTGCTCGGGGCCCTCGCTCACCTCATCAGCGGGGATCTCCCCATCCTTGTTCAGGTCCATTTGCTCGTAGAGGCTTGCCGGTGGGTCCCCGTGCCAGATGAAGAGGTAGCCCTCAGGAACCCCCTCCTCCATGGATATCAGCTCCACCTCAAAGCGCAGCACGGCGCTGCCTGGCACCCCCCGGGCTGAAAAAGCAACCGAAGGCTGCTGCACCGCAGGAGAGCCCAGCAAAGCGCTGGTGCCTGATGGGCAAAAGCCTCCCAGCCCCCAGCCGGGGCTAGGGGGGTGAAGGAGCCCAGCAGCACTTCAGCAAGGCAGAACCGCCCGGTTTGCAATGCATGGGCAGCCGCACGCCGCTCCCCTACCTCCGCTCTCCCCGTGGCCCAGGTGGGGGGGGATGATGAGCACCCGCCTCTCCCCCGTGCACATGTTGAGGAGGCCACTGTTCAGGCCTTCGATCACCTTGTTGGCCCCCAGAGTCACCTCCTGGGGCTTCTCGTAGTCATGGCTGCAGGAGGCAGAGAAGACCACGTGGCTGAGAAAGCCCCTCAGACCCAGTGAGCAGCCCCGCCACGCCCCAAAATCCTGTGCCCTCTGCGCTGCCATGCCCTGAAATCCCACACCCTCCGCTCTACCACCCCAAAACCCCGCACCATCTGTCCCACTGTGCTCCAAAATCCCGCACCCTCCACCCTGCAGCAAAATCTCTGCTGCCCTGTGGCCACGTGGCCGATGCTCTGGTGCTGCCCGTTGCAAAGAGCTGATGCTCCCAGCACTGCTCCGGTGCCCATATGCCCCCAGTGCTGCCTGGTTCAGCACCGGCCAGGATTTGGCCCTGTGAAGGAAAAGTGTGCTCAGAGCAGCCTGCAAGCAAGCACGCACGAGGAGAAGAGCTTGGTGCCATCCAGCAAAGAGCAGTTGTAGTGGTAGCGGACGAAGTCTCTGTCGCGGGTGGTGATGTTGCAGCCCTCAGGCCGGTACACGGTCTCAATCTCCACCGGGTCTGCAGGGTTGTGGAAGTCGATGATGTGGACGTCAAAGATGAGCACGGCTGAGCCGGGAATTTTGTCCCCTGGAAGAGGAGCATGAGGAGAGCTGCTGGGAGAGCTGCTGGAGTTCCGCGGGGCTGGTAAAGCCTTTCCCTCCTTTTTCCCGTGCCTCGTGGCATGTCCGTCCCTTGGAGCCCTGGCTCTGCACATGTTGGCATCAGCCTCTCCCCTGCCCACAACGTGCCCTCCCAAGCCCCAGAGCCCTGGGGATGGAGCTGGCCCTGCCTGGCCAGCGCTTTCCTGATGTCAGACCCTCGGTGTGCCGGTGCACAGGGCTGGAGGAGGGGATGCCACAGCCCGGGGCTGCGCCGTGCAGGCATGCCGGACCCCATGGGGCTGCCCTTTACCTGCTCCGTTCTCCCCGTAGGCCAGGTGTGGGGGGACGACCACCCGCCGCCTCTCTCCCACGCAGACCCCTTGCAGGCCCTGGTCCATGCCGGGGATGATGTAACCCTTCCCGATGTAGGTGTTGTAGGTGTGATTGCGGGAGTAGCTGCAGCGAGAGAAGCCCCCGGCGCCACTGTGCTGGAGAGCCTGGCCCATCAATCCCCCACTCCCACCCCTGCACCCCAACCCGCACCCTGTCTCCCAGCCTCTGCCCTGCTCCCCCAGAAGCCAAACCTTGCTCCTAGGGATGCAGCAAACAGGTATTGTCTTTTTTGGCCTATTTCATGCCCATTACCACCCCCTCCTCCACCTTCCGCCCCAATTCTCCAGCCTCTCCTTGCAGCCTGCTGCTGAGCGTGGGGCAGGAGAGGACATCGGGGG